GCTCTTGATGATAGGTAAGAGGTGATTTGCTTGAGATCACACGTTTTAGCTTAATTTTGGTATGCTTATTTTATATATGAAAATATACCGTATCTACTTATCTATCCTACATCTTTGTTTCAGATAACAGTAAACCAGTCTTGAATGATGACATTGAGTGGCTTATCACCGTGTTATCAAAAACTGTGCTTACTGAAGAACATAGCAAATGAAACTCCTGGCTTTCAAGCTTTAAACGTTCAGGCGTTCGTAATTTCCCATTCGTACGACATGCGTATTCCTTATACCTGATCGGATAATTCGCGTAGACAGACGACTGTTTTGGACCCAAATGAGAACTTAATTTTTTTGTATGTGACTAATAATTCCCTCGTTTAGTGTTATATTTTAATCTTTTCTTGTTCACACCCTCATTTCGTCTTTAAAATTTGTCAAACGATTCTACCGATTGGCATTACGTCTGTCCTTAGTCGACGGCGAGATTTGATTCAGCATACTCCGTTGTCTCTACGCTTCGATGATGTTTTACAAATTTCAGTAGCGCAAGAAAACGTCAGCTAATGGATGATGGAAATTGAAGATGGCGATCGTAGCGGAGATGACATTTTGGATAGCTGGGAGGAAGCGCAAGATAATACTTCAAAGCTGGAGAAGAAGATAGAACAGCAGATGAAGATTAAACAGAAAGACAGGTGTGAAAGGTAAGCCACATATTCCGTTGATATATTTGACAGGGCACCAAATCAAAAGATAGTGTTTTTTGCATATACTGTAAGGCTGTGGTTAATATGTGAAATGTTTTCGGCGAGTTGTTCTTCTACTGCGGTGAACGTCTCTGCTCTTAACGTTAAGGAAACTTCAAACGTAATTCAGTACATTGAAATTGTAAAATGAGGCAGTACCTTTGAATAGTCTTCGGGAATGTGGTTAATAATTACTGTTCGAGTACCAGTTAAAATAAAATGCTTAACTTCTACATATCGTGATTCGGAAAATATGCCCTCCCCATCTTAGAAGATCTAACTTCTCCAATATAATCGCCTTATGCGATGACACTACCCTCGTCTCTGTCAACTAATAAAAAAGCGAAAATAAATTCTGAGATCGCTCTTAAAATACGTCAAACAGAAATTGCTTGCTTAATTTTGTTGTCAGCTTGTAAATGTTTTTTTGGAATTTAATAGTACATTCCGTATATTAAGCACTGTGATGCTCCAACGGCGTCAGTTATGAAAATTTTATGTTTGTTAAAGCCATGGCCTTAGATTAATTTGCTTCTCGAACCAAACGTATTAACTTTATGTAATATTTTTGTTTTGTATAAAAAACGAACGTAATTTCGTATTTCAGTTGTTAAATTATTTTTGCATTAGAAAGCATTCTTTGCCGTAGTCTTCAAAGTGTTTATCCGGTATATGAATTTTATTTAACGTACTCCCTACCTTTTGGATGGAGCCAAATGCATCTTAGTGAACACTGTATAGCGATAATTTACAACAACAATGTCAGCGACATTGCATTCTGTGAAACGAAATCTAAGGACCATCAACGACAAATTTTATTATGTATTAGAAATTCAAGGCAACTAGTTTTTATGTAATTCTGTCTGAGCCTTCTTCACCTGTTCCTTTTGTTTTCTCTGTTAATGACAAGACTTCACCGTTATCTCTCTTCAGATGTGTAGATGCCTATATTTGAATCGGTTGTTTAA